GAGTGAATGCTTATGGCCCTTTACACTGACTGTGCTTACAGCACTTACTGTTTGGAGGAATGAATGTAAAAATGTCCGTGTCTGTCCACAGGCAGCACTATCATAAAACTCTCTTGGTGTACTCTAGAAACTGTGCCTTGAGAGACTGCTGGAGAGAGAGACTCTGGAAGTTTACCAGTAGGTGGGGTTGAAACCAGCCTTTCCTACTACTTTTCTGTAGGCAGACATAGAGGAATCGTGGATACGTTTTCAACTCATCTCCCTGGGAAAATAAAAAACGTTTGTGGTTGCCTGGGCAGGTTTTGTGTGGAAACCACTGGGGACCCAGGTAACCTAATTGTACCCTGGCTGATCACGGGAGTCCCATGATGTTTGAAATGATGGTTTAGTCAATAAACATCATTTATGTCTGTTTCCAATCTTCTTCAATAAGACTGTATTTTACTGGACTCTCAGCTGTTTCATTTATTTATTTATTTAGCTGTTTCATTTATGTATGTATGTATGTATGTAACCAAGGCCCTAAGCCTGTTTTCTTTCTTTTTAAAAAAATTTTTTTTTTTTTTACTGATTCTTTACAGAGAGGAAGGGAGAGGAAGAGGGATAGAGAGCTAGAAACATCGATGAGAGAGAAACGTCAATCATCTGCCTCCTGCACACTCCCCACTGGGTATGTGTCGGCAACCAAGGTACATGCCCTTGACCAGAATCGAACCCGGGACCCCTGAGTCCTCAGGCTGACGCTCCATCCACTCACCCAAACCGGTCAGGGCCTAAGCCTGTTTTCTTAAGGCAAGTAGCATGGATAATCAAGGTGCAAAGAAATCTCTGTCAATTCTGTCAATTAAGGAAGACCCCATACCCACCCACTTCCTCTCCCCCACGGAACTCAGTGCCCCCGGTTCAAGGTTCAATTCTACCTGGAAACCTAGGAGGGGCCTGAAGTGAGATCAAAACCAGAGATGACAATGAGCCTGGCGTTCGAGACAAAAACAAATGTCACATGTCCTTTGGCAGCAGGAGGTAGGCTACCTTTCAAGCAATTTCGTGATGAAGGAACCATAGTAGACGGTCATATACACACGTAAGTGATGACCCTTCGCCTCTGGCGACTTTATAGTTCCCGGCGGGAGGAGGGCAGGGGAGGAGTAACAGGACCTTTCAGGTGTGTCCTCCAATCGCGATAGCCCGCTCTGCCTGTGAATTGCTCCCCTCCCCCTTCCGTTAATTAAATAAACGCTCAGAGCACTTTGCCGCACAGGACTCGGCCCTTGGGAAGCTCTATCTCAGTGGCTTCCATTTTTAAAGTCCTCAACTCGCTGAGGGTTGAAGAGCGGGCGACATGAGTTTCCAGTTGCGAGGGGTGAGAAGACAAGGGGCCCGCAGGGAGGAGAGGCCTGCGCGGGGCCAGGCTGCCCAGAGCGACGCTGGCGGCGGTGTGGGACGGCGCCGGTGGGGCGGGGTGCAGGGCGGCTGCTGGGCGCTGCACAGCTCTGGCGCGGAAAGCCGAGTTGGCGCCTCCCGCCGTCTGGCCGCAGTGGGCCTCTTCCCCGCCTGGCGGCGAGCAGATAAATGCATCAAGGCCGCCGGGTTTAGCCGGCCCGGGGGTGTACGGTGTTCGAGCACAGCGAGCCGAGGCCCTGCGGACACTGAGCTCGGAGCGGTTAGGTTGCACCAGGATGGGCCCGGGGATGTCAGTGTAGAGGTGACAGGTGCTGCAGCTGAGCCAGGCCTCTGGAGGACGGGGGTCACTGGGGCAGGGGAGGCAAGAGCCAGCCTTGTCTCTAACAGATCCCGAGAGCCACTAGGGAGGTGGCCTTGATTAGCAGGCACGTTTCTGGCTTTGAGGTGGTTGGACAACTGAAAATGCCCCTTCGCCTGCTGAGAAATGGGGTGATGGTTGTCAGGTTAGAGACTATACCCGGGATCTCTGCGCTTGGCAGGCAAGCACTCTGCCACTTAGTGCCCAGACCTGGGTCGGAGATGGACAGGCTCAGGTTTCTCCTCAGAAGGTTGGATCCCATAGGCCTCTCAGCTCCACCCCAGCTTTTGCCATTTGGGAAAAGCAGACGTTTGCGGAAGAGGTAAAGGCTGCAAGGTCCTTCCCGCACAGTTTGGCAAGCTGCGCTTAGAAGTGAGCAGTAAATGGAATAAGGTTGGACTTGGACAAAGACGAGAAGCATCTACAGGTGTGCAGTCGCGCTTTGCACACTAGAACAGCATACTATTTTTTCTATTGTTGCTTTATTCTGAAGTGTCTGTGAATTGATGCATATGGCACTGCAGGGGTGCGTCTTGGTGGCTTTAGACAGTTTGAGGGCCCAGTGGGTGCCCTAGAGAGGGTAGGGAGCACGAATGAATGGGCGGCCCCTTCCCGGGCTGCTGCGTCCCAGCCCAGGTCACGCTGTTCCGAGGGGCGGTACTGACACTTGCTCGTTCCGAGGCCTCCACCTGCCGCTCAGGCTCCCCCTCCCTGGGAAGGAAAGAGGAGTCGCAGGTCAGCCTCAGACCAGCTCCACCCGCCCCACCGCCTGTCTCGATTTGCGGTGTGTGTTTGGATAGGATCCGGCCTGGGGTCCTGGGCCCTGTTTCCAGAGGCACCCGCCCGGGCCTCGTAAGAGGGGTGCGCACAGTAGGGGCGTTGATGTCCTAGCAGACGCCTCCTGTCTTGGGTTTCCTGGGCCATCCGAGTGGCTGGGAACCTGGGTCCAGGGCTTCTAGCGTGTGAGTGCTGGTTCCCTAGGGGGCGACAGAGGGGAGCCGCCGACAACCCACCACGCCGATACCCCTGATTATGCGAGGCGGCCAGCGAGGCTTGCCCCGGAGATCCCCACGTTCTGTGTACAGTTTGGCGGCTGCGAATCCCCGGAGGAACCTTTCCCCGGGTGGTGGCTACCCAAGGGCGCGGCCACACATTCTCGGATCTTGGAGCGGCGAGGGGCCGGGGCCCTGGAGGGAAGTCTGTTTCGGGTGCCGGAGCCCTCCCCTCCGCCCCCGCTCCTTGCTCGCCGCTCAGAGAATAGTTGCGCTCAAGAAAGGGCTGAGGTTTCCGGCACCCTCACCAGGGCGCGCGTGCCTGGGTTTCGGCCCAGACGCCGAGTGTGTGCGTGTTTGGGCAGGGTCTCCCTGGCCGGAAGGTTGCGGGTTCTTTGAGCCGCCTTCCACACCCAGGGCGCGGAAGTCCCGATCTCGCTGGAGTGCCTGCCCCTTGGAGACTCGGCAGCTCCGGGGTCTAGAAAGTTGCCTTGGGAATGAATGGCCTTTGCGAAGCCGTTCTGAAACTCTGGGCCCCTCGGGCTTCCCGAACCGAGGCGCTCAGACTCTCGTGCTCTCCCTTTGCCTCTGCCGGGGACGGCCACGGGTTCGGAGGAATCTCCGTTCCTCCGGGAGGCTTTGGCTAGCGCTTCGGCGCGAAGGAAAGACAGCCCGGGTCTGGGGTGGGGGTGGCATTTGTCTGCCCAGCCCCGGCCCCATCCTGCCCGGGAATAAAGCTGCCGGCGCAGGCTGACCCCAGCCGGGACTCAGAGTTAAGCCCGGGGCCAGAAGGCCCAGAACGCAGAGCCTTGGCGCCAATGAGCTGGAAGTCGGAGGGTTCCCTCCCTGTTGGGACTGCCTGGGACCCCAACCTTCCACACCCCGGGGGGCCACCGTGCCTGCCGCGCCAGGGTGCGATTCCTGCCCCCACCCCTGAATACCCACAGCGCTGCTTTTACCCCCTCCCAGGTCCCGGTGTTTTGGGAGCAAGTGCCAGGGGTCGTCTGCGCACTTTCATGTGTATTTAGTGCAAAGCCCCGAAAACATGCCTACTTTAAGGCGAGGGGGAAGCTTCGCTTGGAGGACGCCTATTTTTATTTTAGTTCTTAATTTCAGGCCCATCTGGGTTTAAATAACTGCAGAAGCTCAAACAAACTCGAGGAGTAGAAGGGCTGCGGATGCAATCCTCTGTGGACAGGGAGTAGCGTCCACTCCAGGCCCGCAGGATGGATTTATAGGATTATTGGGAAATCGGATTCCGAATCGAATCCTAATAGTCTTCTCTGATTCCCTCAGAATAGTTAGCTCCCGGACCCAGCGGGGACGTCCTAACACAGTTCGCCCTTGAGAACTTACCTCCCGCAGTGGAAAAGGCCAATTATAATAATTGTGTCAATGGATTTCGTTTCTTTAAAATTTTAAAAATACTGCCGGTTGCTTTCAAGTTTGGGTGGCAAATACATATTGGGGGAGAAGCCGCGTTGTTGTGGGAGTTTCGTTTTCTGCCCAAATCTGCGGAACTGAGGTGCTCCCCTCTCCAGGGGCGGGCAGGGCGAGGCTGGGCGAGGGCGCACGGTGCCCCCACTCCCCGCACAGCCGGCCGCAGAGATGCAGCTTTGGGCGATGGCGGCGAGACTGTTGTCCGAGACTTGGGGCGGGTGGATCCCCGAGGCGCTTGGGGCAGCGTCCCCTGAAGGCCTTCCTCCCCCATCTCAGGACGGTGCTGTGCTCTCGGAGCCGGGCGGGGGAAAACCGCTCAGAGCGGCTGGGGTTCCACTGTACGATCCCAGCCTACACTTGAACTCTACGTGGAGCGAGTGGGGTGCAACGTTTTGAGAGATAAGGGGACCCCGGCTGTTGAGACGCCCGGAACGTGGGGTCTTTAACCCAGCGTGACATCTTTTGGACGATGGGGGAAGGTGCTCTAGGGCGAAAGAGAGGGTGTTCGGATTCGGGTCCCCAGCTCCGCCAATCTCTGGCGTGTGCACGGTGGGATGGAAGGCGCGACGGGGGACCCAGGCTCCGCAGGTCAGAGACGTCCCGAGAAGCGCCCGCGCTCGTCTTCCAGTTCCCGCACCTGGGTTTAATCTAGTCTGTGACAATAACCAGCTGTGTGAGTTCAAGACAATCTCTGCCCCCTGGGCCTGCTCTCTGAACTCTGTAAAGTAAGGACTGGGCAATTGGGTAAAGAGTTTTGGGGCAATAGAACCTTCCTGTCCTAATAAAAACAGCTTGATTCAACGCTTGGCCACCGTGACCCCAATTTTGGATTTACCGCTGGGGGGGTGGGGGGAACCTGGATTTAATTGGCGGCTGTTTTGGGGGACGCAAGACGCCATGTTGTGGAAAATAACCGATAATGTCAAGTATGAAGAGGACTGCGAGGTGAGCTGGGCACGGTGCAGCCCGGCCCCGCCCCAGGACAGTCTGGGAGGCGGGGGCCGCTGGACCGAGGTTGGGGGCAAGGGTGCAGAAGCAGCAAGCAGGCACCCGCCGCTGCCCCGCGATGGACGGGTCCACTTTTCCGGACACCCCCTAGTCGGTTTCTCCGGGGACCCCTCCTGAATCGGGCCTTTTCCTAAAGATCTAGCCTCCGGAGCGGGGCCTGGAGAGAGAACGGCAAATCCCACCCACAAAGCTTACCGGTCGGTTTCAAGCGAAGCAAAACAGCCTTCTTCCCGTTTTCTCGGCAGAGCGCTGGTCCGCAATCCTGCCTCAGACGCGGCTTTTACGCACGAAATCTCCGTCCAAAGGGGTGTCTGACCTGCCCTTTGCGGAGTCTCCTCCCAGGCTGGCTTTCAGCTTCCCCGCTACCTTCCCGGGGAAAGAAGAAAACATAAGTTTGGTGTTCAAGAGAAGTGGGGGCTGGGGAGTGGTGAGGGGGGTGGTGCCGAGGCCAGATGGGGCCGTAAGCGCTCGGAGTGCTCCAGCCTGTCGGACAGGTTGAGCTAGAGTTTCGGAGAGTGGGAGGGAGGGAGGTGGCGAGCGGGAAGAGGAAGACGACGCAGGTGGCGGGAGGCCTGAGCCCGGGCGCTGGGAGAGCGGAGCGGCGCTGGGGGCCCGCGGGAGCCCACCGCGGCCTCCGCACCTGGAGGGGCTGCCCCTGTCCAGCACCCCCGGACTCTGCCACTAGGGGGCGACAGTGCCATGTTTCTCCTGGTCCCCCACTACCCCGTGACCCCCGTAGCAGTAGGAGACACATCCTTTAGGAATTAAGTCGGACAGCCGTGGGGCAAGGGGACGTGAGCTCGCAAAGTTGCCCAATTTCGGGGTTCTTGATTTTCGCTCTGTGCCTTGGTTTGTGGGGACACGGACCGTGGCCAGGCAGGTTTGGCGCCTCACTTCCTCTCCGCACTTGGTCGGGACACGCTAGCAGGGAGGGCTGCTCCTGCTGCGGCGCTTTCCTCCTCGCGTTCCTCCTGGAGCTATTCCGCGGCGCTGGGTGGAGTGTCATCCCCGGAGGGCTTTGTCCTGAGGGCGTGGAAAGATTATTCCCTGGGGCGGGGAGATGCGCACTTCCCGCGCTGCGCGCTTTACCCGCGCCCGCCGCCTCCCCGCCTTCTTTTGCTCGGCGACGCGAACATGTGCGGGCTGGTGAGCGAGAGCGCCCTGCACCGGGTGCCTTCCTCCGGCGCCTGGAACTCCGACTT